TTTCCACGGCGGCTGTGGGAACACGTTGTCCGATAGCTTGGCGGAGCTCCGGCCACAACGCTCGGCCACGCGGGCGCGATTCCCAAAGGCAGGGGCGGCGGTGATTTGCCGTAGCCGCCTTCCAGGTAAATCGCCCCCATTGCTCTGGCAGCTCCCTGCGCGCGCTGCCGCTGGTACTCTGCGCCCCCCCTTCACTCCCCTCCCCCCCGTCGCTCGCCAAGCTCTGGGCCGCTCGCGCAGCCGATCGCTCCCCACAAGCACCTCCCTATCCTCGCCTCGCCGCGCCTCGCCTCGCCTCCCTCCCCCGGCTGCCCTCCCGCCCGCCTCGTGCCGCCGTCCTTGGCCCCCGGCCTGCGCAGTCGTCGTCGTCGTCGTCGTCGTCGTCGTCGTCGGCGGCGGCGGCGGCGGCGTCGTCGCCGTCAGTTTGGGCTCGCAGGCCATGTGGCTGGCGCGGGCTGGGAGTGGCGCCGCCGGCACCTGGCGTGCGTGCGATGGTGGGGCCACCCTGCGCCCTCCCAGCGGCAGGCTGCTGGTGCGGCTGCGGAGCAGCCGCCTGGGCGCTGCCAGCACCACTGGTCCTCGGCGTCGGGCGCCTGGTGCCCGGGGCGAGCCTGCGGCGGGGAAGCACACCGGGACAGCGCGGAGGTGGAGACGGGCGAGACGGGGGTGCAGGCCACCAGCGCCGACGAGAGCGCCGGCATCGGAGGCGACGGCGGGCCACCGCTGGAAGGCGGCCGGCGGGGCGACGGCGGCGGCGGCTTGGGGGGGAGGCAGGCGGGCGGCCACGAAGCAGGGAGGCCTGGCGGCACCGAGGAGGTGGGGCCAGGCGGCCCCTGGCAGGCGGTGCGGAAGGGGCGGAGTGCCTCGCCGCAGGCGAGGCAGGCGGCGGCGGCAGAGCGGACCTGCTTCGAGCACCTCACTGGCGGACGGAGGCGGCGACGACGAGCCGGAGACCGAGGGCGGAGCGGTAGAGAGAGGGCGGCATCCGTGGACGGTAGCGTACCTACGGCGGGCTCGGCGGACGTGCGGGAGCCGGGTGGCCACAAGAACAAGAAGCGGGACGACTAGCGGCTCCTCGAGGAGGCCATGGCTTTGGCGGCCCGGGAGGCGGCGGCTGCGGCCGAGGCCGCCAGCGGTCAGCACGAGTCGGAGGTCGACAGCGACGAGGTCGCCCTGGGGAGCAACGGGGGCGCAGAAACCTGGCGCGGTAAGGTTGGCCTGCGCCGTCCATGCCGTGCCTGGGGCTTCGGTGCCAGGCTCGGGGTGGGTGGGGCGGGGTGGGCGGCCGAGCGCGGCTTCACGCGCGGTTGCTTGGCGCGAGGGGCTCGCGCCGCTGTCTGTAACGTCTGTAGCGCCTGTAACGTCGCCGTCGTCGCCGTCGGCAGCGGCAGAGGCGGCGGCGGCGGCTTGCTGCTCCTTTCATCATTCCGGTTGCGCCGCCGAGCTGCACAGAAGACGGCAACGCGGCGCCTTGCCCAAACCTCTCGCTGCAGGGAGGAAAGCGTGATCTCTCGACGAGAACGGTGATTGGGCGGGCTGAAAGACGGTGGCCCTGCACCCTCAGGACGTTCTGCGAGGGCCATCATATGCTAATCGCTCGTCTCATGTTTTGAGTCCCCCTCGCATCGCACCTCCGCCTTCCTTTCCTCTCCTCCTGGTGGCCGCCGTGCTGACTACGGCAAGCATGTCAAACGGATGTTGTTAGCGCGCAGCCACGTCTCGCCTCTGCAGGCCGCCTGCACGCAACGGGCAACGGGGGCCTCTTCGGGGGATAGGGGGCGTTTTCTGGGCTCGCATTGGCACTTTGCTAGGACAGGGGGATCCGAGGTCAAGTATGGCCACCCAACCCCTCGCTTTCATCCTAATGCGCAATCTATCTTTCGCACCCGTGGATTATATATACGCGTCCTTCTCGAGGTCTGCCACCTCTGGGGCGCTTGGCGAGCCAGGTCCTGCGCCCCAGCTTTGGCGGCTGAGCTCTCCCCCTCTCCGCCTCTCTCCCTCCCCCCTCCAGACGCTGCTCCTCGCACCGGTCTTCTCTTGTCAGTGCCACCCTCTCCCTTTGCCAGCTGCATCGAGGCCAGCGGGCAGTGGTCAAGGCCAGGATTTCTCTGGCCGACTGCTTCCTCTTTGGTGGCGGGGGAGGTCGCGCCTGCGGAGCTCCACAGGACGGATGGGACCGCGGACTGCGAGGGAGGAGCCCGCCAGTCTGCGAAAGCATTGGACGGCAGTCGAGCGCTTGCGGCGTCTCTCCCTCTCGCCTCTGCCCCTTGGCCAGGCGTTGGAACAAAAATACCGCGCCGCCCGCAACAGAGATAAAATGACCTCGTGCTGGGATTTGCTGACGTTGGGGGGCCTGCCCGACGACCGCTGGAGCTGGCCAGCCCGAGCCGATCTGCACCCGAACCCGATCGCTGCACCCACGGGTTGCCGCACTCCAGGGGCACACGCATGTGGCGCCGTAGAGTCATCTGAAACCGCAGGCGCGGCCGGCCGAGGTAGCAGCAGGGCGACACGAATCCAGCAGTAGACACGCGTAGTGACTTGCTGTCCCTCTGTGCCCACATCCTCGTCCTCCTTGTGGGCGCAAGCTGTAATGCTCCACAGCCCTTCCCGTACATTTGCCGAAGAATTGCCAACCGCTCACTCTTTGGCCTACGCTTCTTCCAAATGCTTGGCGTCGCGACGGCGTGATCCTGGTCTTGCCACGGCGAGGACTGGTTTATGAAGCGAAGAACGCGACTGATCAAAAGTCCTCGAACACAGTGGCCTGACTGTTACCAAACCGCGCAGGCAAGAGAAGAATGCAATCGCATGGAATGCTGATGAATGGAAGCGACAAATAGGCGGAAGCTGGCTCAGGGGGGGATTATATTGGACTGCAGTCGGCGATGCATCGCCAACAGATCCGCGATGGGCCCCCGATAGCGAAGCATCACGTTGGGCCAGGGGGCCCAACGATCCACGGGCGATCGGGGGTCGATGCACACCTCCCCGTGAGCCTACATCTCCCCCTGACGTTGCCGCTGAAATATGCCACGAACGCTGAGGTATAGACACGCCCGTCAGAAAAAATACGCGACGTGACGTCGGGACCTCAAATCCTATCAAGAGGCGAGGCCGTACCTTTTCTGCCAGACGGGCTGCTTGCCCTCCTCCCCCCTCGTTGGAGGCGACGACACGGGCGACTAGCCCAAGGGGGAATCATACACGCATCCAAGGGCAACGACGGTCCACGTTGTCGGCGAGGCTCAACCAGCGAACACGTGTCGCGCCCGCCCCTGGGCTGATCGCCCCTATCGTCGCCGCCGACTCCTCCGCTCACCACGAGGAAACGATAAAAAGACAAAACTGCATAAACAACAACTTTCAGAACTCCGCGGGGATTTCCTGGATCCGCGCCGGACCCCACTTGGAGCGCTCCGCGCGCCAGGGCGAGGGGTCCAGCGCATCCGCGCGGACCGTCGACATGTTTATGTCTAGGCAGCTGTTTTGCCCCCTCTTCTTCGAGGAAAAGCGGGGGGGGGCCCAGCAGCGGGTCCTGCACAACTGTCCCCCCAGGAGCTCCCCTACAGCTCCCCTCTGGCCCGCTTTTCTTTGTCGGCCCGCCCCATGGTCCGAATAAGAGATGCAGGCCTGGGTGAGCTCTCAGCATTGTTTGCGTTTGTCTGTCCAGGGGGGCAGGATTTGTCCGCCCCAGCCGGCGCCTGACGCAAGCTGCACTGCCGGACACCCAATCTATTTTCATCGCCTTCCCTTTTTCTTGTTTCCACCTGCTTCTTCCGACCGATGGGTATGAGGGCGGCTTTCCTGCCCTCTGGTATTGTTGAGCCGATCATGTTCAATGCCTGCCACAAGACCTGACTTCTTGGACTGGCTCCTCGCCCCGAGCTGCTCTTCGACGGCCCCAGGGCCCAGGGGGGGGGGGGGCGGGCTCGGGGAGCGAAGGGCAGGGACAAACACCTCGACAGAAGAATCGGCGGTGGACAGACCTCTCTTTGGCAAACCACCCTTTAGCGAAAAACGGCCTAGGATTAGGTCGGGACTGTCCCCCTACAGGCGGAGTGAACGAAACATGAAAAATACTCTGAAAATGCACCACAAATATTCAAAAATGGTCGAACATCGTCCCCAGACTATTTTTTGACTATTTTTGAATATTCCCCCTGTAGAGGGACAGGCCCGACTGAAGCCTAGAACCGAAACTGACGGACCTGGACCCGCAAAAACGACGGCCGCGACGCCCTCTCGCGAACCGAACACTGCCAATTCGCTAATCGACGTGTCAGGGTAGGAGGCCTGTCCACCTCCGAAAGGAGCACGCACTGCACAAACACAAGCTTTCGAACGTCCGCGCGGACTTCTTGGATCGGCGCTGGACCCCTCCCCTGCCAAGCGAAAGGCGCACCGGGTGCGGCGCCAAAGGGGTGCCGCCGGCGGGGGGGGCAGCGCCCATCCAGGAGATCCGCGCGGACCTTCGAGACGTTACGCTTAGAGGAGGTGCTCTTCTTCGGCTCCACTGGCCCCTCTTCCTGAGGCTCTCTCATTTTGAGCAGGGACCAACCGTCCCGGCATTCCTGTAGCCCTACCACGAACTGTTCTCAGAACCCAACAGTGTTCGAAGAAAAAACAATGTTCTTAGAACATAAGCCCGATGTGATAAAACAAGACAATCCCAACCAGACATGATCTAAGAACACTTCGTGGGAACCACAAAAAGGTTCTTAGAACATTGTTTGGTAGGGCAATAGGCACGCCAGGACGCTTCGCCACTGCTCGAGCTTAGGAAGTGCTCTTCTTCCTCTCCAATGGCCCCTCTTTTTGGACGCCCGCAATGGGTACGGAAAAAATGGGTACAGTGCCCAACAGCAAATGTTGTCCCAAACCGACAGCGGCCGCTGTTGGGCAGGCGGCCTTCTGTCTCGAATGGGCACAGGCCGCGGCGGCGCGGACAGCGAGTCCTGTTCAAAATGAACAGGAACTGCTGTTGGGCATTGTACCCATTCTTTCTGTACCCATTACGTTCGTGCAGACTCTTCCTCAGGTTCTCTCTCTCCCCCTGATGGCTCGCGGCCCGGCTCCTTTTCTAGACCACCGGAGAAGAATCGGGCGCCGGTCGCGGAGCCTGCTCGCCCGAGCCTTATTACGCCCTCGCGCCACGGCGCCCGAGAGCTGCGAGGGGGGGGAGGGAGGGGGCTGGGAAGACGGCCTCCTCCTCCCTCCTCCCTTCCTCACTCCCTCCCTCACTCCCTTTCTCCCTCCTCCTCCTCCTCCTCCTCCTGCTGGCCTCGTGAGTTATGAATTGGCTTGGATCAACTCCTGAAGCGCTTTGATCTTCTCCTGTCTCCTCATCCTCCTCCTCCTCCACCTGCCTTCTCCTGCTGCCTCCTCCTCCTGCCTCCTCCCTCTCCTCCTCCTGCCGCCTCCTCCTCCTCCTCCTTCTCCTCCTCCCCCTCCTGCCCGCAGGGATACTGCGCAATCCATGTCATCGTCTCCGCTGCTGCTGACACGTCCCCCCCAAGCGCCTTTACTTTTTTCCCCCTCCCTCCCCTTTCCTCCTGGGACGAGAAGGAGAGGAGGAGGAGGAGGAGGAGGAGATAGGCGAGCCAGGACGCTTCGCCACTGCAGAAAAAGAGAGAAAGAGAGAGAGAGAGAGATGGAGAGGGGAGGGGAGGGGCTGGGAATTCGAGGGGGGGGGGGGAAGGGGAAGAGAGAGGGGAGGGGCTGGGAATTCGAGGAGGGGCTGGGCAATTCGAGGGAAGAGAGGGAGAGGGGAGGGGCTCGGAATTCGAGGGGGCAGGGGGGCTCGAGGCGCCGTGCCGCTCGGGATATCCCTGGGGCCCCCCACGCCGCTCCCAGCCTCCCGGGAGGGGGGGGGGGAGGCGGGGCCGAGAACCCCTTCGGGGGAGGGCTTCGGAGGCAACTGCTGGGAGGTCTTCGTCGGAAAGACTGGAGAGGATGAAGCCCCTCTGGGGGGCCGTTGCGCAAGAGTGGGCCTCGGATGAAGCCGGATCAAGCCGGATGAAGCGGGATGAAGCGGGATCAAGCCAGATCAAAAAGCGGGAGTAAGCCGGATGAAGCCGGATTTCGCACCAGGGCTAAAGCAGAATTCGACCTCCCAGGAGTTGCATCCGAAGAGGGGGGCTCGGAGCACGACGTCGCGCAGGATCCTGCGTCCCTCGAGCCGCTCCCCGGCTGCCAGGAGGTGGCCCTGCCGGGTCCTTCGGCCGCATCGGCTGGGAGCTCGAGCGTCTGCCAGGCAGACGCACTGGTGGGGGGTCCAGGGTGGGGGGGGCATTGAGAGGATGCGGCGCCCGTGGCAGACAGGGAGGGAGAGGAGGACGACGATCGATGAGAAGGAAGCAGGGGTGCCCGTTGCCCATCGCTCAGGACGCGAGCGCTGGCTTCTGGAACCTGCCACGTGCAACAACATTTGAATATGGTTGGTTGGATGCCGAATGCCTCGCACAAGAACTTACGTCACGTACACATGATGATACAACAACTTCTGTGTGATGCCCAACGGAAACCTCGAGACGTCTGTCCTCAAACTCACGTTACCAAACATCTTGCGAGCATAGCGACGACAATGAATGAGGAATGCAACGTCTATCAACACATGACTCGCTTCGATCAAACTTCTCAATCCAAATGCCAGAGCCTTCCGCGTAGGAGGGACGGCGAGGGGGAGAAAGGGCGGATGACGTCAATTACGCGAGACGTACCCAAGCCTTTCTCCACGCGAGCCGAGTGTTCGTACGAATGCTCCATACAAAAGAACACATCGCCAAATATGCACGATCAGGGCTGCCCTCGTCTCCGCCGAGCCTCCCAGGAGCCCGCGAACGTGGCGACAATTGCGCCGTTCGTAGCTCGCAACCTCCCCGAGAACTTTGAGGACTCCGCTGGATCCGCGTGGCCCCCGACTCCGCTGGACTTCCCGGGAGCCCACAAAAGCGGCGACAGTTGCGCAGTTCGCAGCCACCCAGGGAGCACGAGGTCTCAAATGGGTGCGCGTGGCCCCAGACCCCGCTGAACTTCCCGGGAGCCCGCGAAAGTGACGACAATTTTGCGCAACTCGAGGCTCCCCCGGGGGCAGCGAGGTCCGAAAAGGATCCGCGTGGCCTCCGACTCCGCTGGACCTCTCAAGAGCCAACGAATGTGTCGACAATGATGCACTTCGCAACCCCCCTCTCAAGAAGGAGCCGCGACATCTCGACTCAATGAGAGTGCTCCGCTACTTACTACCTTACTCCGCCGTGCCTCCGACACTTGCGCAATTCGCAGCCATCCAGGAAGCTGCGAGGTCTCGTGTACTACTATACTTGAGTCGGGCATGTCCCCCTACAGGCGGATTTCGGACGAAACATAAAACATACCCCCAGAAGTGCTTCAAAATGATCAGACAATACTAGACAAATCAGCGTCCCTATATTGTTATGATTTGCCCATCCGAAGAGGAAGGATGCGCGACAAGGATGCAAGGGCCTTGGGCGCCCACCTCGAAGCTGTTCGGGCGGGGCGCGGCCAACGAAAGCGGCCAAGGATGGGCCGACGAGGCAAGACTGCAAGCAAGGGTACCCTTGGGAAGGTTCCCCCTCCCTACCATGCAGGTTGACGGCATCCCTCCTGCATGGGGGACACGCCCGACCTCGTACGGTCCTCCGCCGTGCCTCCGGGAGCCCACGACCACGGCGACGGCCGCAGGGGCCGCCGCCACCCCAGGGGGCCGCCTGCGAGGCCTCCGGGGGGCTCCCCGTGCAGCCCGGGGGCGAGCCCACGTGGCGACCACTGCGGTCCGCAGTGCGGTGCCCTGCGGCCAGGGCGCTCGGGCCGAGCCCAAGAAGCACTTTGCCTTTGCTCTTCGTCTGGAGCCTCGTCCCGGCTGCGAACAAAGCTGCTTCCCGGCTGCGGATGAAGCCCATGGAAGCGGCGGCCATTTGCGCAATTCGCAGCCACCCGGGAAGCCGCGAGGTCTCGTGTACAGTCGGCCCGGATTAGCAGGCCGACCCTGCCAAACCAAGAGTGCCCTTGTGTCCTGTGTCTCGCGACCCATGCCTCCTACATTCCTATTGGCAATGTGGCCCTCGGAAGGGTCTCGTGTCCTCTCGCGTGTCCTGCCCAACCAAGTCCGACTGTACTTCCAATCCTCCGCCATGCTAAAACAGGGCTAGGATCGGGATAAATCGCTCCAGAGCGTTCCGGAGCGCTCTCAGAGCGTTCCGGAGCGCTCTGGAGCGGCCGCGGCGTCCAATACATCCTCCAAAGCCGCCGATTCTCAGAGATTTCGAGTTATCCCGATCTGATTTTGTCCCGATCTTCGCGTCGTTTTACACGCCTCCCAGGAGCCCACGAAAGCACGGCGACAACGGTTGGCACAGGCGGCCGCCACCCCAAGGAGGAGCGCCGCGAGGCCTCTCGGGGGGGGGGTTCCCCGTGCAGCCCAGGAAGGAGCGAGCCACGGAGCGGCCACAGTGGTGCGCACATCCCGCAGAAGCACCCAGCAGAGGGCAGAACATCCACCCCGACAATTCGACGCTCCAAGGAACTAGAACACTTGTTCCAAGAGGCCTCCAGAGGGCCCCAAAAGGCGCCCAAGAGGTTCCGAAGAAAGTACCTCCTCGACGCTTCTTGAAGCTTCAAACCTGCATCCCAGAAGTCCTGGAGAGGCCAACCTGGCGGGATACGCCGAAGACAACTGCATATTTCAGCTACGTCCCGATCACCCAACCGCAAACGATGGCATAATACGGGCTGGCAGAATGAGCGAAGCGATTCTATAAACCACCCCCACACGCGAAGCCGCTTAGCAAACGCACCCCAAGTCAACTACACGCAGAAGTGACCCTGGGTAAGAGTGACCTTTGGTGCGCGGCTTTTCTGGAAGCCGCGGGGGGACCAAGCACGGGCACGCAGGGCGCCACTGTCGCACCGCGTTCGGCGACCGGGGGACCCCAGTGTGCCCGCACCAAGGGTCACTCTGGCGAAGGGTCACTCTTACGTCTAGTCGACCAAAGAAGGAATCAAACAGGGCAAGGCTGTTTAGTAAACGCCCAAAGCCGTCTAGCAGATGCCAATTGTCCGGTCTGGGTGGTGGTTCCTCCCTTGACCCGGGGAGCTGCGAATGTTCAACTTCCCTGCTCCGCCCGGCCTCCCAGGAGGCAACGAAACTGGCGACGGCTGCGAAGTTCGCAACCACCCAAGGAGCTGCGAGGTCTAATCTGGGTCCGTTAACCCCCTTACTCCGCCGTGCCCCTGAAGAGCCAACGACAAAGGCGACAGTTGCACAGTTCGCAACCTCCGAGGGAGTGCAAGGTCTCGGCTGGGTGTGTTTACTCCCCCACTCCGCCGTGCCTCCCAGGATCCCACGAAAGTGGCGACAATTGCAAAATTCGCACCCCCCCTGGGGAACTGCGAGGTCTCGGATGGGTCAGTTCACTCCCCTACTCCGCCGTGCCTCCCAGACGCCCACGAAAGTGGCGAGCAACTTCCCAGGGAGCAGTCCAGGAGGAGGCAGGACGAACATGGCGACAAGTGTGCAGTTCGCAACCACCCGAGGAGCTGCGAAAACTCGGCTGGGTCAGTTTACTCCTCTACTCCGCGGTGTCTCGCAGGAGCCCACAACAGTGGCGAGAGTTGCGCAATTCGCAGCCTCCCACGGAATGCAAGGTCTCTGCTGGGTCCGTTTACGCCCCCACTCCGCCGTGCCTCCCATGAGCCCACGAAAGTGGCGGCCGTGTGAAAAAATCGTGGCAACTCCTTGGGCTCTGGCTTCACCAGAGCCCAAGGATGTTTGACATGCCCCCCACCCCCGAGCCCAACGGCCCCCCCCCCGTCCCACCCCGAGCCCAAATAGGGCCCCACGGCGTCGCCATGTCGAAACCCATTGCTTCAGCAGGCTGGTACTCCAGGATTTCTGACGTGCCCCCCCACCGAGCCCAACGACCTGCCCCCCCCACCCCGATTCCAAAAGGCCCCCTAGAACCCAAAGGGGCCCCACGAGGTCGCCATGTCAAAGCTCCGTGGGCTCGGCGAACCAGAAGCTCCAGAATCTTGACACCAGAACCGAGGCGACTCAGGACCAGTACAACCCTGAACGGAGGGGACAACGAGAAGAGGGGGAAACCATTTGGAACTCAAAAACAAAAGATGGGGGGAAATCAAATAGGAGAGACGCGGGGAAAGCGAGGAGGAGGGATGAGGGAGGATGAAGAAGGGAGGAGGGTGGAGGAAGCAGGGAGGAGGGAAAAGGGAGAAGGGAGGAAGAGGAGGAGGAGGAGGAGGAGGAGGAGGAAGAGGAGGAGGAGGAGGAGTAGGAGGCGGAGGAGGAGGACGACGACAGGGAGGAGGAATGAGGAATGGGAGGGCGAGGGGGAGGGAGGTGGAGGAAGGGCCAATCGCCGCATTCAGAAAGGTGCGCTGAGGGAAGGACCCCGTGCGGGATGGAGGAGGAAGCAACTTGCAAAACGGCTACCGATGGCAAACGGACGAACGACTATTGGAGGAGGCGGAGTTGCACTGAGATAGAGCCGCTTGCGAAACGAAGGCCCGCCAGTAAAAACATCGACAGGACCACCCCCGACACCCGCACCCCAAAGTTGGCGGAAGACCGCGCTGGAAGGGAGCGCGAAGTGCTGCGAAGCAAACGCCCACTCTTGCGAGGTTCAAACCTCATACGCGGGGGCGAGGGGGGAGCGTTTCGGTGTCTTGTTCCCAGCCTTCGGCCGTTCAGGGCCGATCATCTCCTCCTACGGGCGGATCTTTTTCCAGAGGCACCCGACGTGAAGCCACTGTTGCAAACTAAGTGAGGCAGCGCTGCTGGTAGCCATTAGGCTCTGCTGCCGCCGCTCCTCAACACGTAGATGATTGTTCCAAGCACGACCATTAAACCGCCCCCCCCAGATGTCCCTGTCGCTGGTCCGCCTTCCTCCACCATCCCTCCCAGGAGGGCCTCCCAAATGTCTGCAGTGGGTGCCTGGTGGCTTCAAGGTTTGTCCTGGTACCAAAAGAGACCCATAAATGATACGCGCACTAGTCACTAGATCGTGTGGGGATCCAGGATGCCTCTGCCAGCGCGAAGCAGAAGATCTCCTCTTCAGGAGGTAACTGTAGATGCCGCGAGCAGGGCCAGGCGCTGCTCACAAGCGCGGACGGGAATAGACGCTTCCTCGTGGTCGTCCTCTCCCAAGAGTCCTCCGACGGTTAGGCCGGTACGCCCGAGGTCCTTGACGTAGAAATTCAGATACCGGGTTCCCTGCTGCGTGTGGCCATGGACGACCTTGATCTGGACTCCCTGGGACGACCCGTGGAACATTATCCATTTAGACTCTGCGCCGATGTCGGAGTCGTCTGCCCGGAACATGAAACCACCAGGCCGCAGCGCACTTGCCCACTTTCCAGTTATGTTGATGCGTGTGAAGTACGTGTCTGTACAGAGACCGCCCAAAGTTTGTGCAGCTCCCTGAACGTGGAGCAGGGTCTTCTCAATGCCCTCACGCCTCGGGATATGAACCAACACGTGCTCGCCAGGCTGCATCAAGTCAAACCGCTCCCCATGAATATTTTGCAAGTGGGGGTCCCCCACCGCGGCACCACCGCCACCCAGGGCCGAGTTCGACGTCGCCGAGCTCTCGTCAGCGCCAATCGTAACAGACAGGGGATAGCCGTTGGTCCACCCAGCCAGGCTCCGAAAATCAGCCAGGAGCAGTTCTTCCAGACCTTGACCGATAGGAAGAGCGCTCAAAGACCAGATAGGAAGGTAGACGTAAACCACAGGGGTGCCACCGACAACCACAGTCGTGGCGGTGCTTGGGTTGGCGAGAACGAAAGGCTGAGCAAGAAGACCAGAACTCTGGATTGTGGTGACGGCTTGGTTTTCCATGGCCGCCTTCATGCCAGTCGCCTCGGACAACCGTTTCACTATCAATGATGAGCCACCTGGTTTCCGGGCGATGTTGACACCGACCACGGCTTCGGCCCTGCTCGCATTGGCCCTGATCGCGCTGGGGACTGCCATGGTCTGCATCAGCTGGACGTCGGCCTGGCACTCTATGGAGCCGTGGCAAGCCCACCCATGCCCTGCAACGAACGACACGGCCAAGGTGGCGATCACAAGGTATCGGACAAACATCTGGGCCATCGAAGCCGCGACAAGCAATATGTGTGTGGATGTGAGTTCAAAAATAAGGACTTGAGCCAAAATGGCCACGGACCTCCTGCGGGCGGATTTTGGAAGAGAAACCAAAACACATACAGCGAAAACACATTCAAACAGAGCCCAAAGAGCACGAAACATCGCCCAATACTATGTTGTGACTAGTCTTGAATACTCCTCCTGCAGGGGGACACGTCCGACTTAAAACCCCGGACCCGACTTTGGGCGTTATACTTCGCAACCAGCGGACTACGTGGCCGCGGCGAGGAAGCCCAAATCATTGGTTTTACGAAGGTTTTGACACCATTTTGGCCTCTTTGGGGGGGGGGGGGGGGCGAACGTTGTACCATCTCCTTTGATCGATGGCCTTTAAAATGGCCCCAAGAGGCCTCCAAGACGGCCACCATGGCCTCCAAGACGACCCAGACAGGCCCCCACAATGCCTCCAAGACGGCCCAAGATGCAACCAAGACGGCCTCAGATGGCCTCAAGATGGCGCAAGACGGCCCAAGAGGCCCCCAAGAAGCCTCCAAGACGGCCCCAAAGGCGCCCATGCGGTCTTCCAGGAGGGCCCGAAGAGGCCAAAATCATTGTTTTTCTATGGTTGTTGACAGATGTTGTCATTTACTTCTTCTCGGCATTCCGACGGCTCAAGACGGCGCAAAAGGCCACCAAGAATCCCCAAGAGGCCTCCAAGACGGCCCCAGAGGCCTCCAAGACGCCCAAGGTGGCCTCCAAGATGCCTAAGATGGCCCTAAAATGCCTCCAAGACGGCTCAAGATGCACCCAAGACGGCCTGAGATTGCCTCCAGATGCCTAAGACGGCCCAAACAGCCCTCAAGAGGCCTCCAAGACTGCCCAAGAGGCCTCCAAGAGGTCCTCAAGGAGGGCCCGAAGAGGCCACAATCATTGATGTTCCTAAAGTTTCTGAAAGTGTTTGTCATTTGCTTCTTTTCGGCATCTCGACGGCTCACGACGGCGCAAAAGGCCACCAAGATCACCCAAGAGGCCTCCAAGATGGCCCCATGACGGCCCAAAAGGCCCCAAGGACGGCCCCCAAACTGCCCAAGAGGCCTCCAAGACTCCCAAGATGGCCTCTAAGAACCCCTGATCTGCCCCAAGAGGGCCCCAAGACGACCCAGACAAGCCCCCAAGACTGCTTCCGACGGCGTCAGACAAGCCAGGAACTCCCTAAGACTGCCAAAGAGGCCCCCAAGAAGCCCCCAGCACACAACAACCCTCCAAGAGGCCCCCAGGAAGCTCCCAGGAGGCCCCAAGAGTGCCCCAAGAGGCGCCCAAGAGGCCTCCTCCTCCCTCCTCCTCCTCCTCCTCCTCCTCCTCCTCCTCCTCCTCCTCCTCCTCCTCCTCCTCCTCCTCTTCCACTCGTCCCCACGCGGCCCCCAGGGATGGCCCGAAGAGGCCTTCCAAGGCCACCCCCTTGCTCCCAGAGATCTCTCGGTTCATCCTGATTGCTCGCTTTGTTTCCCTAGATGTGTCCCTTCGTCCCTTATCCCGTCAGCTCTCGTGGACAGCGCTTCTGAATGGGCTGGTGGGGATACTTTTTTGTTCGCGAGCGCGCAGGGAAGCCAGGCGCCGTAGAGAAACGCGGCTAACGAGCAGCGGACTAAATTCCGAGAACTGGTGGGGATACTTTTTTTGGTCGCGGGCGGACGCGGATTCGCAGTCGCCGAGCTGAGAGGTCCGGGCCACGGGCCTGTCAAATTAGCAACACGCAAGCCTAAAAGCAAAGCGGCCGCGCCCGCACTCAGAAGCTGCCGCCAGAGGGGCCGCGGGCTGAAGAGGAGCTGGCTGAGCTGCAACTGGTGGGGATACGCGAAGCGCGAAGAATTATCTGGGCATCGCCGCGGAGAGACCCGATTGGAGCGTCAAGTCCACTGGGAGGTGAGGGCATTCATGGATGAAATGCTGTCTCGTTCTGGCCACTTGGGTTGTACCTTCCCAAACATGATCGGCCATAGCGGACGATGTTGCTAAAGTAATCCCAGCGCGGCCCGTGGACTAATAATTTTGGGTCCCCAGCACTGCCAATACTGCGCACTTGCGCGAATTGGAGAATCGGGGCTCTGGGCTGAGAATACCATGTCGTGAATTGCCACTGGGGGCCCTGATGTATAGGACATGGCCGTCCTCGCATGTGTGTTGGTGCTCGTATGGGTGGTGGTCGCACTTCGGCTGAAAGCGGTCAGCCTGAACTCATGTGCGTGTATCTCTCAACTCTGTACGTTTCAAGAGTATGAGGATATCGTCTGCCATTCATATGATTTCGCAACCACTTCTGTACAACATGTTTGTATCTGATCCACCTGATTTGTCCCAACGCGTCGGTCACGGCAAGCAAGCTGTCATGCTTGCCCCATGTGGGACATTTCTCCACAAACCGGTGGGAAATTGAATCGTTGCGGTATGGTCGGTGCCTGCACGCGGTTGACCACCACTCGGACACTCGGAGAGTCCTGACATTGTGTCCCGATTCGGCTGCCTGGCGGCCATAATGCCCGCGTCGAAAATTGTTGTTGCGCAAGTCCCCTTCTTCATCTTTGGGTCGCAGTGGCTGCTGCCCACGTAGATAGTCGCGAATATCTTGCTTGCGCGTATCTGGCAGCGAACGGCAACGAACAAGGCACTCATGTTCGCAAATTAGTCGAATGTACCTGTCCTCTTCATCTCGAGCTTCCGCAGCCGGTGGAGGCGGAGGCGTGGCTGCCCTTGTAGGTGGTGCTGGTTTGACCTTGGCAGGTTCTGCTGAGCCAATGGCCTGGCGAGCGTCCTTAGAGCCTGAGCCTTTTTGACGATTCAGGTCGCGCGTGTCCGTGCCTGCGAAGGGTGTGTCGCCCCCATCCTTCGGTGGCAGCTCATGGGAGCCTCCCGTGCCACCTTGCTGGCCCTTGTGAATCGACGCTGGCCGACGCTCATCGTTGCTAATCGATGCTGGACGACGCTAATCGGCTCTGAATCGTCGCTCTCTCATCGATTGCCCGACGCTAGCGCGCGCTAGTCGCTCCAAAGATGGACCTACGAAGACATGCAACGCCTCCGTGATTTGCGACCGAACCCGCTCCTTTCCCCCACCTCGATCACGCCCGCGGCGTCAACCGTCGCCAGCGGCGTGCCGGTGCGTCGGTGGCTCAAAGAGAGGGGGTCCTGAGGGATGGGGTGCGAAGGACGCGGTGCCCCAGACAGCGCACATCCTTGGGGGGCGGAAAGATACGGATACGTGTTGTCCCCGGACCTCTCTTGGGGTGCGTTCTGACCAGAATTTCGAGGCGAATCCAGCGGTGACAACGAGGATTCCCCAGGAGGACCAGGAAAGGCCGAAAACGACGGGGGACAACACGTATCCGTATCTTTTTCTCCCCCGACATCCTCCCCTGGCTCCTTTCCCGATCCACAGGACGCCGCCCCTCGGGACCTCCTCTTTGAGCCACCGTGTGCGGAGGAGGGGGGGCGGGCGGGCGGGCGGCGGCGGGCCGGCCTCCGCGGGCCGCGCGGCACCGACGGGCAGCACCGTCGGCTACCCCTCGCGCGCTCTCCCCTCCCCTCCTCCCCCTGGCTCCCGCCTCCCCTTCGGGCGCAAGCTGACCGGATCCTGGCAAAGCACCCCCTCCCGTGACGTCACCCACGCTTGTCGAGCTGCCCTCCGGCCGCGCACTGGCGCCTCGGGGCGGGGCGAGGGGCACGTCACGGAGGGGGATGGCCCGCGAGGAGTCGGTTGAGCCGCCCCTGACCCTCCCCTCCTCCCCGCCAGGCGTGCCCGCATCGTTAACAGCTGGCGACAGGAAACTTTCGGCCCTCTTCGGCGCCTGCATGGGGGCACCCGCAGGGCCCCCAGACCGTCAGCAAACTGTTCGGGATGACGAGCCAGCCCCGGGGAAAGCGTCGGGACTTCCCAAAACCACATGCGAAAACATCATGACATCGCATATCTGGGCTCCCCTCCTCCCTCCCACCCCTTCCCCTTCTCCCCTCCCTCCCCACCTCCCCTCCCCTTCCCGCCCTCCCTGCCCCTCCTCCCATGACCTGCGCATGGCGGCAAACTGGGACAGAAATCGTGTGAAGGAAACCTCTCGAAAAGGCAAAGGACTCTAGGATTGTCTTTGATACTTCCTGCTGCGTACTCTCCCAACCCATGAAGAAGGTTCGGAGCTCTGCGGGGATTCTTCGTATCGGCGCTGCACCGGGTCGGACCCCCTTCCATTGCTTGCGGAACAGACGCCGCCAGGGGGGGACAGTGCCGATCCGAGACATCTGCGCGGGTCTCCACGTCCTTCGTGCTTGTGCGATGTGTTCTTCTTCGGTCCAGGGCACGCCGTTCCCGTTCCCTCCTCCTCACCCCTCCCCTGCGCCCCCCTCTCTGTCGCGGCAGCGACTGGGAACTCGACGAGCAGACAAGAGCAGGGGAGGGGAGGGGGCCAGGAGGACGGCGTCAGATCAGGCCTCTCCCGGATGCTGCCCCCCAAATGGCTACACGGCAGAAGCGCCAACTCGAGCCGCGTCTCTGGGCCGCCTCTCGCGGAAAAGGTAAAACCACAAACTTCCGTGGTGGGTGGCCGTGGACTCAGCACGTGGAGACCGTCCTCTCGTTCCCCTCCTCTCCGGGGGGGGGCGAGAGGAAGGTCTTGCAAACAGGGTGGACAGGAGGCCAGCTGTGCGCAGCCAGTCTGTCGGGCGCCTCTGGGTGCTGGGGGCGACAACGTGGCTATGGGCCAGTGGGCCGAAATCCGCTGCACGCGGCCAGGATGAATAACAGCACGACTGCGAGGCGCAGTAAGAAGGAAAAGACAAGATGATGGGAGGAATGTCGAGACGGGGGGGAAAACCTCATATGTGCTGAGTGATCTCGCACTTGGGAAACCCGCTGCTGTCTGGGCCGGGCACGCCACCGGGGTTCCACACGAATTCTGGAGGTACAGTCCAGATTACATACGCACTGCCGCACCAAGGATGAAGGCACACTGGCAGCGATCCCCGTGTACAACTTCTGCTGTCTTTCAAATAGAAGCTGAGAATTTGACTTGTCGCCAGCTCTTTACAATACGCTCGGACTCGCGAACAAAAATGCAGGGCACCCAGGATGCGGCGCAGGCAGTGGCAGTGGAACGCGTCGAGCCTCGATTTGTCAGCCTTCACCAACCACAGGGAGTCGAGCGAGTATAACAGCAGATTTACAACCGCATTGCCATGCACATCGAATCTTTGTTTCCACCCAACAGCGGTATGCGGACAACGTGTGGGAAATTTGTTGAGGATGCGATGCGCTTCCCCCCAATCGGCGGTTGTTTTCGGTTGTTGCGTTACCACTTAAAGAGAAAACACCTCTCAAATAAACAGTTTCCTGGACAGTTTTGATCGGAACGCCATCAGGCAAACAAAAAGACGCAATTCATTGAAACATGACATTGTAGATTGTCCCAGCTATGCTCGAGACCGTACTTCCAGCCCTCTCCAACAACAGCGTCAAGCATGTTCAGAACGGTTGTCTTTCTATGCGCAACAAGTAGTGCCATCTGCATACATGAGTTCGCGCGTAACCGCATAGGCTGGTTCGGCCTCGAAGTTGACGGACCTACAAGCATCGTGCAAGACAACGGTCTGTACTGCAATCAATCAGTATGGGGAAAATGGGCATCCCTGCGCGATGCCCGCCATTTGCCTCCTCCCCGGGGGAAAGAGGGCATCTCGGCTCGATGCCTGCCATTTGCTTGCCATTGATCCACCCCGGGGGCAACAACTTACCCGAGACATGCCCAACCACTTCTGCACGCGAGGCGTTTCTATGAACGCCCCATACAACAAAATACATCGCTGGACATGTACGGTTCGCGCTGCCCGCACCTCCGCCGTGCCTCCCGGGAGCCCCTGCAAGTGGCGACAGTTGCACAGTTCGCAGCCCCCGACGGAGCCGTGAGGTCTCACATGGATCCCCGCTGCCCTCACCTCCGCCGTGCCTCCCAGGAGCCCGCCAAAGTGGCGGCAGTTGTTCAGTTCGCAGCCGCCGCAGCCCCCCAGTAGGAAAGGTACGGGCACGGGAGGCAAGGAAAAGAGAGGATGATGCAGGAGGCATGAGGAGGGGGGAGTAGGAGGAGGGAGGAAGAGGCGGGGGGGACGGATGGAGACCCCAGCGCTCTCTTCAGAGCGACGACCCAACACGCAGGAGGGCTGCGAGCAAAAACGCAGGGGAGCCCCCTTTCGCCTGCCACCGTGCCCGCCCGCCACCCCTGGCGCCTCCACAGTGACGCCCGCCTCCGTCAGCTTCTCCACCACCTCCCCGTCGGCCATGTCGCCGATCTCGCCCAGCTGGGGGCGGGCACTCTTGCTCCCGGCCGGGCCGCCGCGGGCGCGGCGTCCACCACCGCAGCTGGGACCCTCGCCGCACGCGCCCAGACTTGCGGTGCCCGGATTGTGCTCGAGGCGGGGCCCCCGAACTCCAGACTCCTTTCCCTGGGGCCAGTTCGCTGCTCTTCGACCGCGCCCGGCCGGGCCAGGGCTCCCGGGGGCCGAAAGCGGCTCCAAGCCTCCCGTCGTGATTGTGTGGGTGGTTCACGACGCGAGCATATCTAAGGCGTGGGGTCGCCGCGCGCGCGCGGGGGGGGCGGAGCAAGCAAGCAAGCAAGAAGTCATACACCCGGAGGTGCGTAGGACACTGGATGGGAAAAATTGCAGATTAAATAATACAGTCGGGCTACGTTGCGCTATGTTGACAGCTTAGCTGTGCGGACAAAGTGCCGCCAAGAAACTTCGCTGGTCAGGAGTGGGGTCAAATTGGCTATGCCGCCTGCCGCTTTGCAAGCGACGCGTAGCACCTGGGACGTCCAGTCCGCGCGCGGCCTGCCAA